GGGACAAAAGATAATCAACCTGAAAAACCATATCAAAGAAGGACAAGGAAGATCACTGGCAGTGGATTGAGAAGATGCAGCAAAGAAGATGGAGGAAAAAGCTGTCAAAATTGTTGTCCTCAAAAGAAGGATCAGGCCACAAGTAGGACTGACTCCAACTCTTGATGCACTATGGCCAACACCTTCTCAACAGATAAAGAGAAGCCCGATGCCATAGTTGTAGTCAGTCTAACATGAATAAAATCTTGTGGATCAAAGTTAGAGAAAGTAATAGTAACATGAAGCTGTGAGTTCAAAATAATCATTCAACAAACAAGGCAAAGACAACAACAAAAAATGCTGTCAAAAAATGAAGCTAAAAAGTTTAAATCACTGGCATGAGCGAAAAAACACACATGTAAACATGCGAGTGCCATATCAAGAAGTGATGATTGAACAATCAGTATAAAGGGAGTCAGCTGGGCTTGGAGGGTGTGTCACACTCCTATTTGTGGAGGGTTGTTACATAGTCATTTGCAAGCTACAGTGCAGCATTAGTACATGGAAACACATGAATTTAGGTGAGAGCCTCAAGACTTAGTGATGAGCAAAAATTGCACATTTAGAGTGAAACACAAAATTGGGTAAAGCTAATATGTGAGTAGAGGTAAGGTATTGTATAGGAATCCAAAATATCTCATGCAAAATTCCAAAAAAAACTGTATTTATTACAAGTTACAAACACATCCAGTGTTACCTATGGTAAGATTTCTTTAGTAAAAAAAGTTTACAGCAAGTTAATATTCATTATTCTTTATTGGGTCAAAAAAATTTTGATTGCTCAATGACTTATTTCACTATGTTTGTCAGACATTACTACACACAGACTCATAACAGCAACAGTATGTAACATCATTAAGTTGTTAACCTATTTATGTGGACAGAACTTTTGTTGAATTAAGACTAGCTCTAGCTACACAGAAAACACTTAAAAGGGAAATGTTTGACTGTGGTCATAAAATTTTCTGTAATGTTGTTTGATTTTTATTGATTTTCCACCATGCATGGGTATTTCTACAGTTTCTTCCATCATATCACCAACTTTTTGCTTAAGAACTTAATGTTTATTATACTTATAAAGTTGTTCATTAATTTTAAGATTTTAACATTGATGATGGAAATAGAAAAAGAAAAAAACCGAAATGTCACTAATTGAATATTTACTTTTTGGTATCTCTGTGTCTTTGATACTTCTTAAATACTCCATTTTCACCATATTTATCCTTATAATCACTGCTATAGATCATCTAGTATCATCACAAGTTTTCTTGCCAAATAGTAAATGTTGTACTGTTTTTCATTTTCTAGGATCAATTGAATTTGTTTTCACAGAATCATATATTATCTCTCACATACTGTGACAAGTATTTTACTAGTTTTATTATATGAAATCTAAAGACAATTGTTTTTACTAAGGAATCAGTGATTTTTATAATAGTGTACTGAAATCAAATATCCCAGTGCTGTGTAACAATAGTATACTCTTTTTTTAATGACAATTGTTTTTAATAAAGAATTATTTTATTTAGGAATAAATCCTATACTCTTATTTCAACCTTACTAATTCTGATTGGTCATGCAGAACTCCTTACCATACTGATAATACTGGTGAAAGTTCTTCAAAGAGCATGTATATGGATAACATCCACTAAAAGCCTAAGAATGTTATTTTTAGTACTTTTTTTTTTTTTATTTGTAAACAATGTCTTGAATTAACATTTATTTTCAATAACAGATGTTCAGTAGTTTTAATAGTCTTGTGAAATTTGTAGGGAGAAACACAGGGAAAGTAATCATATTTTCAGTTTGTTACTGGTTAGTACTACATTGTGTACATGATATATATTCATGTACAACTGTTTACGATTAAAAAAGTAGCTTAATTACAAATTGTTGTACCTAAAGATGTCTATCATATTAAACAAAGAATAGTTCGAAAATGGCTTTTGAAAAATCGAAAGATGTTGGATATAGGAATGTTAGTTTCAATTTAAGGAACTCTCTATATATTCTAAATTTATATTAAAAAAAAAAAAAGAAAATAGTGCATTTGTATAAAGTACTTTGAATTGTGGCTCTATGCCTATTAGAAAAGAAGTTACTGAATTCTTAGTGATTGAGTGAATCCTAACTTAACCCATGTAAAACAATAGTTAATTAGGCAATTATCTGTAACCACTGAAACTTAAAGAGCACTTAATAAGGCACATAGTTTTCCTCATATCTTCATTATTTCTTTGACTTTTTTGGCGAAACAAACTGTAAATTGTATCTTGAAAGACTAGCTTTTATAATATGTAATTAATTAATACCTTTCATTTTTTAAAGTATTCAAAATTTTCTTTAAAAATCCAAAATATATTCATTTGAAAAAAGCATAGATGCATAGCTGCACACAGCTCTCTGCAGCAGCCTCATATGCATTTGAAACTCAGCATTTATAAAGATTACAGTTATATTTTCAATAAACTAATATTGTATAACTTTATATATATTAATATAATCAGAGTATTTTATCACCATTTGAAAACAAATAAAAGTATATTTGGGTGTAAAACACTTAAATTTATTGGACATACTTGATTATATATACTGGTGGGTCTGCTAGTTTCTCTTCATTAACACAGACAAGTAATTCCACGAATGGGAAAAATATTGAACAGTTTAACAGCAATTATTAAGTGTAGCAAACTCATGAACTATTTATACGAATGGTCAAAAGAAAATTCGATGATACCAATTGCAAGATCCCTGATGGATTGTATTGACTCTATTGTGAGGATAATCAATTAATGAGCCCAATTATTAATTGGTTAGCAAATACCACTAACTGCCCAGCTATACTAAAGATTACTTTTAAAACCACTTACTAACATGGAGATTTAGAAATAATAAATAATTCTGGATGTAAAGAATAATTATTTGTTATCTGTAGCCTAGGCTGCATTAGAGTTTACTTCCTCCCCTTTTTGATAAAGTTAAACCTTAATTTATTAATTTTGATTTTTATAATTTTCATAACAAATGGAAAGTCCAATGCCATATGAAATGCAGGCTGGTTTTCTTTTCCTTTTGATTAATGTTAGTAATTCTATATTCATGTATTATGGTGATAAGTTGGAAAATTAATGATAACCTAATATTTTAAAGGTGTTAGATATGTATTTTAAATACATACATTTGAGCAGTTCTTCTGATAAATGAAACGTTTAAAAGTTCAATATATTAAATTGTTACTACAATCAACTTTAGAAAATTCAAAAAATAAAACATATATAATATTTAATTCTAGAGTTACATTTCTTTGGTTTATAAACAGTCTTTATTTTTCCAAATTTACTTTAGCTTCTTGTCTTGTGTATGTTTTCTTGCTGTCAGTCCTTGTACTATTTTTTGACAAGAGCATATGACCTTCAAGATGTTACTAGTCACTCAAAGCACATGCGAGTACTTCTGTCATGTGTTTGAATTGTGTATTCTCTAAATAATTTCTATGGGTTTCTAGATATAACAACCTGTAAACAGTTTAATGTAGGGGTTTATTTTTTCTTAATTTCAAGCTTTTAACCAGTGTAAAAGTAACTAAGTATAGTTATATAACTACACTATTTTAAATCTAGTGATACTTACAGTTACTGAAAATTGTGAATAGGGAGTATATGTAATTACTTATACGAATAAAGTTAACACACATGACATATACTTTTGTTAGGGTTAGGTTGAAGTGAATATCTTTTTTTATTATTAAGCTCAACCAAACATACAGTGAGGCCTCTTCAAAATAGGAGAATATTAAAAGGAATAAAGAACTGAGACAGAAAGAAAAAACATCAGTAGCCTAATGCATGTGTTACATATATATCTTCTATGGTTGGTTAAATAAATGAAAGACTAGTGGACCAAACTTCTACTAAACCCCACAACCTTTG